GCCTTAGCCGGTTGAGCTATAGGCGCCGAGCCAAAGGAACTATTTTAGAAGTCATTGTGCTGGGAAAGAATTCATGGCAGCTATAAACAGCTTGTTGGGCAGTAGTGGCAGCACTGAAGTATTGAGCTTTGAAAGCAAATCCCTGTCTTGAGAATAGGCAGCATCTGAGGATTAAAGTGAGCCTCTCATCACCTGAGCAAGCAAAAAAGACAAGGAGTTAAGCTTTCAACTTGGAACACATAGTAATAAGGGCAGGTAGGTTCTGGGATGGAAAAACCTAAGTAGAGAGGTAGGAGGTAGAATCTTCTTATGGTATGCATGATCTGAAGGACTCTGACACTCCTGAGTTATAATTATTACTCAAGACAAAAGCCCAGCCTAAGAAAATTCTAGCAAGAAAACTGATGTAACCAAAGAAAGGAAGTTTACATGAGCACAACTCTGAGGCTGCATTTCAATGAAGTTGAGTCTACTTCGATATTTTAATGGGCTTTTAAAAGCAGTTCAACCTCTCTGAATCTGTGGCCCCAGTGAGATTTTCTGGGACCATCTGGCAATGGTGCTCTGAGGACAGGATGGGTCCCAATACCGCACTACTCAAAAAAACCAGTACCTTCCACCTTATTGGATTGCTGCTTCAGCTTTAAGTTCTTTGCGTGGGTCTTCCCCAGGTAATGTGACTGGGCCACAACAGGAGAGGAAAAGGTCATGTTACAGATGGGGCAGCACTGGTTCTTGTCTTTGCTCCTGCTGCTCTTCTGGTTGGGAGAAAGAACACAGGTCTGATCATGCCACTGCATGGCCAGAAAATCTTCAATGGTTCCCCACTGCCCATATGAGAATGAGCATTTATGGCCCCTTTTACATATTAACCAAAATCTACTTTCTGTATTCTTCTTTGGCTACTTTGTTCTAGGTTCATCATCTCCCACTATTCTGTGTTGCTTCCTTGCTTTGCTTGGACCATTCCTGCCACCTTGAATGCTCTTCTTCCTTTCCTGCCTGCCATTATTACAGGCAGTCCCTGGGTTACGAACAAGATAGGTTCTATAGGTTTGTTCTTAAGTTGAATTTGTATGTAAGTTGGAACAGGTATATTTATTTATTACCTGCAATAACTTCCATTTCTAAGTGCAAGTTGTACATAATTTGGATGTCTGTAACTCAAGAACTGTCTGTGTATCTGCTTACTCTTCAAAGCCCAGTTTAAATATCACCTCTTCTTCTGGGAGACTTTTACTCAGAAAATCATTCAGCAAACAATAATCAAGCTCCATTGTGTGTGTATTCCAGCAAGAATGAATCTTGCTCCTCCATTTACTCCTAGAATACTTTAAATAGTCCTTTATCATACCACTTATCACATAAACTGACGAGAGTCACACCTTAGGAGACTTTGCTGTGAACTCAAGTGCAACATTTGGGCACAGATTATTTGATTCATCTGTTTCCTATCCTTTGCACCCTGCTAGAGTCTGGCACACAGTAGATGTTCAGGGTTTGTTGAACAAGCAGGTCATTAAGTTTTATGTGTTGATTAGGATTAGGCTAGAAAACAAAGTATTTCTTTTTTTTTCTTGAGACAAGAGTCTCACTTTGTCGCCCTTGGTAGAGTGCTGTAGCATCACAGCTCATAGCAACCTCAAACTCCTGGGCTCAAGTGATTCTCTTGTCTCTGCCTCCCAAGTAGCTGGGACTGCAGGTGCCTGCCACAGTGCCTGGATATTTTTAGAGATGGGGTCTTGCTCTTGGTCAGGCTGGTCTTGAACTTGTGAGCTCAGGCAATCCATTCCCCTTGGCCTCCCAAAGTGCTAGGATTACAGGCATGAGCCACCGTGCCCATCCTAAAACAATGTATTTCAAGTCTACATTAAGGGCCTCTCAACATCTTTCTAAGAAAGCTTGATCTCTGAACAGGGTATTCATTCAGCATTTGTCAACTTTGGCACCATTGACATTTTGGGCTAGATAATTCTTTGTTGGTAGTGGCAGTGGTGGCGGGAGGGGATCAAGGATTGGGTAGCTAATTCGATCTCATTTGAACTACTGAGCCATCCATCCTAAGAGTTGAAGAAATCAAAGTAAAAAGATCTAAAATGACTTGCCCAGGGTCAGTTAGTTGATCTTGTCTTTTTTTGAGACATAGTTGTATTATGTTGCCCTCAGTAGAGTGCCGTGCCATCACAGCCCACGGCAACCTCAAATTCTTGGGCTTAAGAGAATCTCTTGCCTCAGCCTCCCAAGTAGCTGGGACTAGCCCACCATAACGCCTGGCTATTTTTTTTGGTTGCAGTTGTCATTGCTGTTTAGCAGGTCTGGGCTGGGGTCAAACCTGCCAGATTTGGTGTATGTGGTTGGTGCCCTTCTCACTGAGCTATGGGAGCTGAGCCTGATCTTGTCTTCTTGAATTTGAATAAGTCAAGTGAATTTCAAGAAGGGAGAAGTAAGTCTCTCTTAAACCTATGTTGACTATAATAGGGGGCAGTGGTTTGTAGAGTAAGCTCTTATTTATTGAGCCACGTACTAGGAATTGGAATTTTACCTCACAATGCCCTAAGAGATAGGAATTAACTTCATTTTATGGGTGAAGTTCAGAGAGGCTAAGTGACTTGACCAACACTGCCAAAGAAGTAAGTTACAGAGCCAATACTGCATCCTACTCTACTGACTTCTCATCCTATGATGTTTGCATAGCCTCCCACTGGACAAAAATAATGGTACTACTGAGGGAGGAGTTACTTCAGTATAATTTTCATAGTATTTCTGAGCCCAAAACCAAATGCAATTACATTTCAATTAGAATAGGCATTTGGAAAAGGGTGCTCCTACTTGTTTATTTAAAACATTCACCACTTATCACATAAACTGATAAGAGTTCTTTTCCCTGGCTCTCAAGAAAGCAAGCAGCCTGGCTTCATTCTACTTTCTCTTTTTGAGTAGTGAATGGGCAGGCTTCTTGTCTTGCTACAATGTACCACTGGGTAGTAATGCATAACAAAGGCTCTACTACTGAGTTCCTATTATGTGCCAGGCTCTCTATTGGGTGACTTTTATAAACCTTTCCTCATTTTAGTTTAGAAAAATACTGAAAGATAGTTGACATTAGCATCCTCATTTCTATAGAAGAAGAAATCAAGGCTCAGAGAAGTAGTAAGACTTGCCCAAGTCATACAACATGGCTTGGATTTGAAGTCAAGTCAGTCTGACTCACAGCCCAGGGTCTTTCACCACACCAACCTGCCTGTTGCCTTCATCAGGATGTAAGCAGTCTCAACTTTGGCAGCTGTATTACCTGATCTGAGTCTAGCCTCTTCATTTCCCCCTTTAATGTCTCCATTCCATGAATTGCTAGGTATCTCTTCACTTTGTTGGCATGTTTTTTGCTCTGCAAAAACCCAGGAAAAAGATCAAAGATAGCCAAATGTCAGTTCAGATCTAAGGCACTTAAAACACTTACTTGATTTTCATCTGATTCATCCTCACAAAAAATTTGAAGGAGAGGCTTGGGCAAGAAACTTAGTTTATTGAGTTCCTACTCTGTGGAAGGAACTTTACAGCTATCACATTTAATCTTCACAACATGAGTGGCACCTACGGCTCAAAGGAGTAGGACTCCGGTCTCATATGCTGGAGGTGGTGAGTTCAAACCCAGCCCTGGCCAAAAACTTCAAAAAAAAAAAATCTTCACAACAATCTATGAGAAAATTATCATCTCTATATTATAGATGAAGAAACTGAGGCTGAAAATGAAGAAGTTTCTTGCCCAAGATGAGTAGCAGAGTTGTGATTCAAACTCACGTTTATGTAAAGCCAAAGCTCATACTTTCTACTGCTGCAAGGAAAGATACACATACAATGATCCTGACTTAGATAGAATAAATGAAAATAAAAAAAATTAAGTCAATCTTTAAGTCACAAGGCAACATGCATGGAGGCAACATCTGGGCGACTAAGAAGGAATTATACTTCACCATGCAAACCAGAGGGAAGTGAGGACTTGGCACTGGGTCTGAAAAGTACAGCAGAAGTACAATGGCATACCTGGTAATGTGCCAGCTTCTGGGACTCAGAAATGAGCAGGGCACAGCAAACCTTACACTGGGTGTTGGTGAAGAGACATTGGTTCTTCTGGATCATGTGTTCCACTATAGAAGAGAAAATGAAAAATCTTTTGAGTTGTAAAAAATATTGCCTCAGGCTGGTCACAGTGGCTCATGATGCCTATAATCCTAGCACTCTGGGAGGCTGAGATGGGAGGATCACTTGAGCTCAGGAGTTCAAGACCAGCTTGAGCAAGCAGGAGGCCCAAACTCTACTAGAAACAGAAAAATTATTTGGGGATTGTGGTAGCATCTATAGTCCCAGCTACTTAGAAGGCTGACACAGGAGGATCACCTAAACCTAGGAGTTTGAAGTTGCTGTGAGTTAGACTGATGCCATGGTACTCTAGCCTGAACAATAGAGTAAGACTCCGTCTGAAAAAAAAAATACTACCTCAGCACACTGTCTTTGAACCCTGCCTCAAACACAGGCACTGGGTAATGAGATGCCACACTAGTACACTGGCAGACCTCGGCTACCCTCCCCTACTGCTGCTATGACTGACGCTATGTTCTCAGGCCACCTACACTATTACTTGTCTTACAATTTTATGTATGCCAACTTTCTTCACTTAGTAACTTATTTTAAAGAGGAATATTTAGATACCAATACAAATAAATACAATAAAAATGAAATAATTCTAGCCAGTCTTAGAGCATAGAAGAGGGCAGTAATTGTGCAGAGAGGTGTAATGATAGGGTCATACCCATCTGAGACTTTCTCCCAAATAGAATGAGGAGGGCTGAAATACTTGAAAAGGGAGTAATTTTCTTACTATTCTTGATCTGAGTTTGAAACATCTAAAATTACATATTATAGGCTCGGCGCCTGTGGCTCAAGTGGCTAAGGCGTAGCCACATACACCTAAGGTGGCGGGTTTGAATCCAGCCCGGGCCTGCCAAACAACAATGATGGCTGCAACCAAAAAAAATAGCCGGGCGTTGTGGTAGGCACCTGTGGTCCCAGCTACTTGGGAGGTGGAGGCAGGAGACTCCCTTGAGCCCAGGAGTTAGAGGTTGCTGTGAGCTGTGATGCCATGGCACTCTACCCAGGGGGATAGCTTGAGGGTCTGTCTCAAAAAAGAAAATAAATAAAATTACGTATTATAAAAGTTTCACATTATAGGAAATATGGTATTAACCTGCGCTAAATGGTAGGACAGAATAAAGCCTTACCCCTTTAAGGTGATAAAATCTCACCTAAAGCACAAGTTCCATCATGGCACCCACAATCTGAGGCAGAAGCAGAGTCCTTGGAAAGGAGGACAAGCTCACGTTTTTAATATCCTAGTCTCGGTCAAAAAGTGGTCAACATACCCTGGAGAGAGGTTTTTGGTGGGGAACTTTTGAGATGCCTCTCTCTATTCCACAAGTGCTATCTATTTTAAAGCTTACCTATGTCAGCCCTTTTGGGCAAAAGAATTGTTATCTGGCTATATTTCTATCCCTTCATATTTCTTGTTTATTTCTCCATTTTTCTCCTACGATGTTTGGTAAAATTTTGCCAAAGGCCTCAACTCTCTTAGCTTTGCTCAGAAAAACCAAGAAAAGTAGTTCTGTGAACACAGTTGGGCCACAGCTTTTTAAAGGAAGGTCAGAGGCTCATCACAATGACCTACTAAGGGGAAGATGAAACCTATGGGTCAAAGTCCAGTTATCTCATACTCGCCTGGAGAATGTGAAATTTTTTTTAAAGGATATGGAGTTGCTTTTCAAGGATACTCAGAATCTGACTCCTAAAGACTAAACAGGGTAGGAACTAGTTATTTATAACTTTGTATCCCTATTATTCAGTACAATACCATACCCATAGCAGGGAGTGTGGTGGGTACTTGCCAAATGACTAAAAGTTACCACTCTGCTGGATCTCTCTGGCCTCAGAGTACATGCATTGTCCACAGACATGTGTTCAGAGTGCCTTCAACGTGCCAGTACTGAACTGAGTGCTAACACCATATCAAGAAATAAGATAGATAGGGTATAAGGTAAATAAATAAGATAATGATAGGTAATTAGAAACGTTATGAAAACAAGCAAACAAGCTTGGCATTGTGGCAGGTGCCTGTAATCCCAGCTACTTAGGAGGCTGAGGCAAGATGTTTACGTGTGCCCAGGAGTTTGAGGCTACAGTGGGCTGTGTGTAGTAAGCAAAGTAAGTGGGACAGAATTATGGGGGCAGGATAGTTGGTGAAGACCATCAGAGGGAGGTATTAGCCACCAGAAGGTCTGCAGGAAAAAAGTATCCTAGCCTGAGACAGTATTAGGTCCCGGAAGCAGTAATGAGTGTGGCTGGAGCAAGGTGAATGAGAGAAGAAAGAGGTAGGAAACAAAGTTGGAAAGACAGCATGACACCTACTAGATCATGTTGAATAAATATAAGGCTTCATAAGCCACAATTTGAACTATGGATTTTATTCTTAGTATAATGAGAGGTGACAAAGTATGGTCTGTGCTTTGAAAAGATTACTCTGGGGCTGGGGTTGATGGCTCACATCTGAAATCCTTCCTTTCTCACTAAAGCAGGAGGATTGCTTAAGGCAAAGAGTTTGAGACCAGCCTGGGTAACACAGCAAGACTAATCTCTACACAAAAATTTAAAAGCACTCTAGGAGACTGAGGCCAGTAGATTGCCTGAGCTCAGGAGTTCAAGACCAGCCCAAGCAAGAGTGAGATCCCATCTCTACTAAAAATAGAAAAAACAGGTGGGTGTTATGGCACATGTAGACCTAGCTACTCAGGAGGGTGAAGCAGGACGATTGCACAAGCTCAGGAGTTTGAGATTGCTGTGAGTTATGGCATTATACCCAGAGCGACAGGGTGAGACTTGGTCTCAAGAAAACAAAAAATCAAAAATATAAAAATTAAAAAAAAGAGATTACTTTGATAGTTGTGTCAACAAACTGCATGATGACAATAATAAAACTGGAGAGAACAGGGAGGAGGCTGTTGCAGTCTTTAGGCAATAAATGATAGAACCTTAGACTACGGAGGTTGCTAACGGCAATGGAGAAAAGCAGATTTGGAATTATGTTCTGGAAGTAGATTTAACATACAACCAATTTCTTTTTCTTTTTTTTATTTTGAGATAGAATCTCACGTTGCTGCCCTCAGTAGAGTGCTATGGCGTCATAGCTCACAGCAACCTCAAAATTCTGGGCTCAAGTGATTCCCTTGCCTCAGCCTCCAGAGTAGTTGGGACTACAGGCACCTGCTACAATGCTCAGCTATTTTTAGAGCCAGGGTCTTGCTCTTGCTC